CCAACAAAACGACGCCAGGAGATGGCTGAAGTCTCTACTTGAGTTATTGTAAGCCAATACTGAATCAAGGCTTCAATTAACCAAATATACACATTCAGAATCAATCTCAGATGCTAACATAACTCATTCCCTAAATCCTAAATAATGTAAATAAATTTAGCCTTTAAGAGCTTTGTTTTCTTTTCCATTTTCTACTCTCTTCCTAGGTTCCTTCTGATACAAATTGGTAAGGTTTTATGCTTCATTGACATAAACCAGTGTTCTGCAGCTCTAGGCATTGTATGCTGAAATTTTTAAAGCAATGACAACCAATTAAACATCTGGTTTACATTATCACCATGTGCTGGCAATAGTGAAAAACATCATGGGGTACCCTGCTATGTGCCATCACCCAGCCCCTTCCTCCTGGGAAGCCATATTGATCAGATTTTTCTTAACTGACAATTCTCTTTCCAATCACTCTGGATTTAATCTCTTTATTAGTGTGGGGCTAAAGGGAAATGAGTATTCTTGAGGATACTCGACATTCCCTCATTATGTAACTACCCCAGAATAACTTCTGAGAGACTCTGTCAGTGAGAAAAGCTATTTTCCTCACATAAGGGAAGTTCATTCAGGTAAGAGGGTCTTGGAGTTTCAGCTTTCGTTTTTCTTTGACCAAATGTTATGATATCAGAGTCTTATTCTTTCTCAAACAGTGCCCTAATTTAGGAGAAAAAGCATTGATAAATGGGCCCTTTTTATTTTGTTTTGTTTTTTGTACCAAGAATCAAAGTCAGGACCATACATGCACTTGCAAGACAGGTATGGTGCCACTGAACTAAGTCCCCAGTCCCTGGACTGGCCTTTTTTATCAGCAGTGAAACTCTACAACCTGTACATTCAGACTTTGTGGGTGAATACTCGGCCATATCTGTCCTGCAGCTGCACAAATTGAGGGATTTGAAATCACCATGGAAAACTGGTTTTCCATCTGCAGTATCATCTGCTGTGTTCAAGGCTTTAAAGTTTTCTTTTTTATTCCATACAAGCTCTAAGATGCAGTAAAAAAATAGCTCTTTTTTTTCCCCTTGCAGTACTTGGGATTTCATTTTTTGTAATGAGGATTGAACCCAGGGCCTTCACACTGAACTACATCCCCAGCCCTTTCTTGCTTTTATATTTTGAGAGATGGTCTCACTAAGTGACTAAATTGCCAAACTGGGCTTGATCCTACTGCCTCGGCCTGCCAGAGTGCTGGAATTACAGATGTGCATCATCAAGCTTGACTGCAGTGCTGTGGATTGAACCCAGGATCTTCACACATCTCCAGCCCTTCTCTATTTTCTTTATTTTTCTACCTTGAGACAGGGTTAGAAGATCAGATCATAAGACTAACTTGTACCTCAAAAGCTATCAATATCATAGGCTATATTTCAGTGACAGCTAACCTTTTAAAACTTTCAATGATACAAACAGACCACTGTGGCACAGGTGTCATAGATTTGCCACTCCTGATATAATTCCAGCAAATTTCACTAAGAGAAAGCAGAAAAGGAACTTTCTGAATCTGCTTTCTTCTTAGCCTCAGCCTGCTAATGCTTCCTTTTAGTGGAATTCAACTAGCAGTTCATAAAGAGCTATGTGGTATAGTCAGAAGTGTTAGTTTCAATAGTCATAGTGCAGGGAGGGCATGGTGCTGTACACCTGTAATACCAGCACTGGGGAGGCTGAGGCAGGAGGATCACTGTGAGTTTGAGACCAGCTCAAACAACATAGCAAGACTCTGTCTCAGAAAAAAAATAATGTCACAGTACAGGGCAAAGAATGGCAGGAAACAGACCTGATGGTTTGGAAGGAGGATAGGAGCGGGAAAGAATTAGTATAGATGTTTCCAGTTACTTTCAGAAAAATGGAAAGAGGGCTTAACTGAGATGTGAAGTAATAGGCCATTAAATATAATAAGTTAACAATCAGTGTTCATGTATTTGGCCTGTGTCTCAAAAGGACTGCAGGTCTGGGGATTTAGCTCTGTGATTCCGGCACCTGCCTTGCAAGCACAAGGACCTGAGTTTGATCCCCAGTATCAAAAAAAAAAAGGACTGCAAAAAAAATCAAATGATATTGTTTTATATATAACAATGCCTCATCTTGTTATTTATGTGAGAAACATTTCATGAGGCTTACAGTGACTAAAACAAAAAACAGAATTAATGTTGATTCCAGACTCATTTTAATAATTAACATTAATTCATATTCAATTAATATTTTAACATTAACTTTATAATTATTAATATTCAATTAATATTTATTCATAAATTCCTAAATGAATGCAAAAAGTGTCCAATCTAAAGGGCTGCTTTTTTCAAAAAATTTTACTTATATTTATCACATACTATATTTGCTTTGATGTATTGCATAACAACAAAATCACACTGGTAATTTGATCCTGAAGAAATATTTGTTCTAAAATTTTAAATATTTTAAACTTTAAAATATTTAAATGTTTAATTATTTTAGATATTTTAAAAATTATAGGAGGGTTGTTTTGGGGCTTTCTGTTTTGGTTTTTTGTTTGTTTGTTCGTTTTTGAGGCAGAGTCTTGCCATACAGTCCAGGCTGGCTGAATTTGCAGCAATCATCCGCCTCATTCTTCTGAGTGCTGGGATTACAGATAAACACTATCGCACCCGCCTGAAAAATTGTCGGAGTTTTAAAACGGGAGTTTTAGAGTCATAGAATTGAAAACTTTAATTCAACATGAATATACATTGAAAAGAAATATGACAGCTAATGAAGAACATTACTTTCAATAAAGATACTTTCACTAGGACAGTATCTGTAGTTGAAGTACAACAGAAGTTTAGAAAAAGGAAACATGGAAAATTTCAAAGAGTTTGTGACTTTTTTTGGGGGTGGTTACTGGGGATTGAACTCGGGACCTTGAGCTTGCAAGGCAGGCAGCAACACTCAGCTAAATCCCCAGCCCAAGTTTATGAATTTTTAAAAATCTGATACTAGTTATCACATCACTACTCCTTAAATTCCCTTTTTTATATTTAAAAGATATATAACCATTTCCAAATGTGACTACAACATGCCAGAATTTAATCCTTTCAAGTTAAAATATATATATATTATATGGTTATTTAGAATACTTTTAAGGAGTATCTGAGCAAAAGGTATGGAAAACACAGGAAGAGATGGTAGATGTCTAGCTTTTAGTTTGTTTGTTTTTGTTTTTGGGGTGCCAGGACACAAACCCAGGGCCTCCATGATTGGCAAATGCTCTATCACTGAACCCCTGACATTTCTTTTTAGATTCAGTATCTGAAATATTATGCCCTTCCCACCTTGAAATTTGTCTCTTTTTTCATAGATATTCAAAGTTTAGAAGATCTCAAATTAGGACTAAAGAGGAATCCAGACATCCTGGAGGACTGTTGTGTAAGGAGCCTGTTACTCAGCTACACCATGCATTTAAAAAATATGTTACAGTTGATTTTGAGCATCATTTTATTGAGATATGTCTTCAAAATTATAGCCAAGACTCTGAAAAACTGAACTCTGGCTGTGGTGTAGCTTGGTGGCAGAGCTGCTTGTCTAGCATGTACATGGCCCTGGGTTTAATTCCCAGAACTGCCATTTAAAAAGGTGGGGGGAACCATTTCACATGCACACATATGTTGGAATTAATATGGATAGCTAAAAGCGCGATTTCTTCTGGGTGTTTGGACTGGTGCCTGTAGTCCGAGCTGGACCAGAGGTTGAGGCAGCAGGATCCATAGTTTGGGGCCAGCTTAGCCTACATAGCAAGATCCATCTAAAAACAACAAAAGTGAGATTTCTGCCAAATGAGATATTTTAAAAAATCAATGTTTCATTTTTTGCTATAGATATCAAAAGATTTGGCACTTTTAATGCAGCACATTTCATACTATGTAACAGACATTTATTGAGGCAGCTGAAATTTTTCTGGTTGAATTGTTCATTCTTGATGCTATAAAACAGTTTTATGATGCTTTCTTTTACGTTTCTTTTTCTTTTTTTTTGATACCAGCTATCAAACTCAGGACCTTGTATTTGTGAGGCAGGCGCCAGCCCCACAGAGCTAAATCCCCAGCCCCAGGATGCTTTCAGTAAAAGGATTACCAATAAGCAGCAGAATTACACTAGCCATGTCAAAACTGCACGTGGGAGACACAAGGATCTTCAGGTGCCCAGAGCAACTACTGCGGAACTCTGCCCTACAAAACTTAGTTCAGTTCTGCCAGGGGCTATGTGAGGTGTTTTTTCATGGAATATCTAATTTAATCCTACAGGCAACTCAGTGTGTTATTACTGTCACTATTTTGCAAAGAAGGAAATGGAAACTCAGAAAATTCAAGCAATTTATCATAACTCAGAGCTACCAGACTCAGGTATCCTGCCCACCACTCTCCTGTACTCACTCTTGAGAGTTCACGCCTCTGCCTGGGTTAGGTTAGCTTAATTCAGTAGTTTCGATTCAAATTTTCAGTGTCTAAGGTATCCCTGAGAGGGCGGTGTCAAGATACATACTGTACATGCTGCATGCACTCTGGGAGGCTGAGGCAGGAGGACTGAAAGTTAAGAGTCCAAACTGGGCAATGCAGGGACTTAGCGAGTCCCTGCGTCAAAACCAAAAATAAGAAAAAGACTAGGTAGATAATTCAGTCCGAAGGCCGTCGTGCAATCCCCAGTGCTGGGAAAAAAAACCAAAACCACCCCGATTGATGTATCCCCTCTACCCAGAGTGTGGTTCTACTCAGTAAGTCTGGGGTGGGGACTAAATATCTGGATTTCTAACTCGTTCTCAGGCTACAGAGATGCGCTAGTCTCAGCACTACACTTTGTGAACCACAGTTTTGAGAGGTTTTCATTTAAAATCCACTGTTCTCGCATTGGGTTGGGATTTAGGGCCCGGTCACCGAAGCTCCTCGGTGATCTATTGCTTTCCCCTCCATCCCAGCTACAGACATGACCACGCCCCCACTCGTCTATTGGTCTGCTGGCCCTGCGGCTGCTCCGCCCACACACCCGTTCCTCAGTCCCTCGAGGCAGAACTGCTGCTGCCAGAGCAGACGATCCAAGACGTGGCTCCCAGGCTGAGGAACCATGTTGGACTTCGCGATCTTCGCCGTGACCTTCTTGCTGGCACTGGTGGGAGCAGTGCTCTACCTCTACCCGGTAACCCATCTTGGCTCTCAGGAGCTCTGGATGCTGTCCGAGCCTCTCTAGTCCAGCGTTCGCTTTGCTTAGCCGGGGTCAGACGGCAGGGGGCGGGTCTGAGGGGAGGCGCTGGCTGGAACCCGTCACGTGGTGCAACACGCGGATCACGTGGCACAGCACGTGGGTCACGTGTCGCCGAACCCTTTCAGTGTGAGTTTACCGTGGGGGTCCTGGGCCGTTCAGCCAAACCTGGGTTCGGGTGTCCATCGCTAAGAGGAAGATGCCTTTACCAGGGCCTGGGTCCGCAGTCCGGCCTCACGCAGGAACGGGAGATTCCCTGGTCCTGACCGCCGGGCCGCGTAGCGAGACCTGGTCTCTAAAAAACCAAAGTAACCCCAGAAAGCTCTGCAGAGCAGAGCAGAGCTGGTTTTATGGTAAAAGTTGAGAAATAGCTGGACGTCACAGTCAACGCAGGGAACAAGTTAGATAAAATTGAGGGTTACAGTGTAAAATACAGTATATGAAGGGAGCTGGACGTGTGCTCATGGTGGAGCCCTTGGCTGGCACGCACGGACTGAGTTCATTCTCAGCTCCAAAGAAATATAAATTTCAAAAGAGGAATGATTCGTATTTTAAAGTAGGGAGGGCAAAAGGTAACGAGACATTTGAGCCAGGTGTGGTGGCACACATCTGTATTCCCAGCATTATGGAGGCAGATGCAGGAGGACCTCAAGTTTGGACTCAGAAAAAAAAAAAAAAAAAAAAAAAAAAAAAAGGTAGAGATGTAGTTCACTGTGAAGTCTCTGGACCCAGTCCCCAGTAAACAGAGACACACAACACACACAGATTTGAGGTGAAGGTGTCAAGGTGCAGGCCAATCTGGTTTCGAAGAGAGCATTCCAGGTAAAAGGAGTGAGGAAACCCTCAGGGGACTGTGTGGCCTCTGTGCCTGGACTGAAGTGATGGGGAGGAAAGACAAATTTTAAGTGGCTTGTAGGTAAGCAGTTTTGTGGCCTTTCATTCTGTATGCTACTGGAGAGTTTCAAAGGATGACTGACATTTACAATTTAAGGAGAATTTTAAAATTAGTATTAAAGAGCCTGGGATTTAGCTCAGTAGTTCGCTGCCTGCCTCACGAGCACAACGTCCTGAGTTCGATCCCCAGGACAAAAAAAAGAATTAGTATTAAAGCCAGGCACAGTGACATGCACCTGTAATCCTAGCTATACGTGAAGCTGGGGCAGGAAAGTTACAAGTTAGAAACTTCTTGCCTGTCAAAATAGCAAGACCCATCTCAAAACATTTTTAATCTTATTAGATAAAATTTTAAAAATTCTGGTTGCTATGTGAACAGAATTGTGATCTTGGGTATGACAATCATTTTGTTGAGAAATTGAGTTGGCTTGGAGCTGGGCATGGTGGCACATGCCTGTAATCCCAGCACTCGGGAGGCTGAGGTAGGAGGATTGCTGTGAGCTCGACACCAGCCTGGACTACATAATTCCAGGTCAGTCTCAACTAGACAGTGAGACCCTGTCTCCACCCCCCCAGTTGAGTCGGCTTGGACCATGGAAGTAGCCTCAGACAGAGATGGTGAGAACTCTGCCATTGTGAGGACAAAGCCACTGGATTTTCCAAAGGATTAGATGTGAACTTGTGAGCAAAAGAAAGGCATTAAAAAAACAGTGTTTTTCAGCCTGGTAGATGGAAAGATGTACTAAGGGCTGGGGATTTAGCTCCGTGGTCCCAGCACCTGCCTCAGAAGCACAAAGACCCCAGGTTCGATCACTGGTACCAAAAAAAAATAAAAAAAAAAAAAAAAAAAAAAAAAAAAAAAAAAAAAAGATGTACTGACTCTAAGGAAAGTCAGTCAGAGATTTTGTTGTTTAGTTACATTTAATCTTATTTTGGTGGGAGGCAACGGGTATTCATGGAAATTATGAGTATGGTTTTGGGTACACTAGCTTTGAGAGATACCTCTTAGACATCCAGGTGAAGATAATAGGATATATAAGTTTTGAGTTTTAAAGGAAAAGACTAGGCTGGATATATAGGTTTGGGAGCTCCCAGTATGTAGGTGGTCCTAAAGCTAAGAGGCTTCTTGTTGTCTCCCAGGGATTTTAAAGAAAAGAGAGATGTCTGAGAATTCTTCAGTGTTTAGAGATTGAGAAGAGGGAGAGGAGCAGGCAGATAAATAGAAGGAATCCAAAAGTTTTGAGCATAAGAGAATAATCAGCTGAATCAAATGTTGTAGATAAGTGAATTAAGGCCTGAATATTTTGTAACATACAGATTTATTCCCACCTGGGAATTTTTTGCCAATGGCGTAAAAGCAGAACTGGAAGGGAAAATTGCATGCTGTTGATTTTCTTGGAGAAGCTTGCCATGGCTAATTTTCTTAATACGAAATCAGCTGTTCTCAAGTGCAACTCAAGTCCTCACCTCACCTGGGATGGCTGCTGTTCTCATCAGGGGAGCTATGGTCTTCACCTTGACTGTCACTTCCTGGCTGCAGTGCATGCAGATCTCTCAGCATGGTGGCCCAAATCCTTCACCCTGCCGGTGCAGACTTTCTAGCTTCCTGGTGCAGATCTCAATATGGACTTGTATGGGGCATTTCCTTGGGCTCTAGGCCTTCAACTGGGCTTGTGTGGGACAGTGTCATGGGATCCAGGCCCTTGGTTACATTCTTTGGGTTTTCTAGCCTGTGGACAGACCTCTTATGCTCATTTGCATTTGACTTTTTGGGTGAATATTATAATCCTATAAATTAAGAGTCTTGCATTAAATCTTTTCCCTTGCAATTCTTAATTATGACACTGCCAGTGCTTCCTTGGATCATCTACCAAATTATAGTGCTATCAGTCAAGTCAACGTGGCTGTGTCTTCCTTGGCCTGTGTTTTTCTCTACCTGCATGGCTTCAGGGGCAGAGTTGATAGAGCTTGGGATTTTATCAGAATTGAGGTTTTGCTGATGATTATGAAAAAAGGATAGAGGAAAAGGAGTTGAAATACGTGCAAAGGAGTTGTGGTAATGACAATATGAAATCTAAGTTGGGTAGAGTGGGAAATGAGTATATGAGTAGGTGTTTTAAAAGTTCCTGTAGGGTGGGCTGGGGATTTAGCTCAGTGGAGCCGCCACTTGCCTCACAAGCGCAAGGTCCTCAGTTTGAATCCCGGTACCCCCCAAAAAACGTTCCTTTAGGGTAAGAATATTTTTTGAATCAAGATATTAAAGAGAGAAAAGATAGGAGGTGATTAGAGATTTGGGCGCCTGAAATTAAAATTTTAGTGATGTTAAATTTACTGGTAATGTGAAGACCTAATATATGATCGTGGCGATGAATGGCTGAAGTAGGATGAAGATTTGAGTAGGGGTAGAGTTAGGTCCTCAGGAAAGAAGATAAACTGTAGAAATAGAGTCTCAGCACAGTGATGGTGAAACTATGGCACCTGTGCCACAGCCAGCTGTTTGTTATCATTGCAACCTCTAAAAGGTTTGCCATTGGGGGTATTTATGATTTAAAATGTCCAGGGCTTCCTGTGGTATTTTAACAAAAGAAAGGTCATAGCCAGGTATAGTGATGAACACCTGTAATCCCAACACTTGGAAGGCTGAGGCAGGAGATTCAGGGCCAGCCTAGGCTACCTAGTGAGTTCAAGGCCAACCTGAGTTTTAGAGCAACACCCTATCTTGAAAAACAAAACAATCAAAATAAAAACAAACATGAGCTAGGGCAGCTCCAATGAGCTAAATCCCTGGCCCAATTTTGATAAATTCTTTAACTACAAGGAGCATAATTATTTCAGGATTGAAACTATTATAAACATGGACATAGTTTGTTTTTTTTTTTAACCATGCCAGTTGGGACCAGTGTACTTGATATATATTAAAATGCATTCGATAGATAGATAGTCTTTGAATACCTTAGTTTATTTGACAAAAGAATATTTTTCCCTTTCCATGCAAATAACCCATTTTTTAAAATAATTTTTTAGATTCAAGTGAGTAGGAAAACCATTGTTTAAGGTTCTGCCTGTCTTAATAAACACATCTGATTTGCAGGATATACGATAACTCATTGTACAGAACTAATCCCAGGATTCGAGGGGGGAGCTGAGGCAGAAGGATCACTGCAAGTTCAAGGCCAGCCTGTGCTACATAGTGAGTTTAAGGCCTGCCTGGAGTGCATAGGGAGACTTTGTCTCAAAACAACAAAACAAAATAAGATGAAAACATTTTTTTTTTTTTTTTCCTTAAGGCTTCTAGGCAAGCTGCAGGAATTCCAGGCATTGCTCCAACTGAAGAAAAGTAAGTATTTGTACTTCAAGTAGAGTCAATTCTTCATTTTTGGTAACAAAGCTAAACCATATTTTCAGATTATCATCTTGTTTAATTCCTTTGTTCACTTTAAATTTACCTGTGCACATACATTGTAAACTTTAAGAACTAAAAGGATGCAGGTCCAAAACATGATTTACTTTCACTTCTCCTTGCCAGAGAAAGCTGAAAATAGATAGAATTTAGAAAGAAAGATGAAAAAGTTGCCATAGCTGATGTGATGATCTTCATCAGCCTGTGATGATGTCTGTTGCCAGCTCAGAATGAGGTGCTGCCAGAGTTGGGCATTCTCCAGAATCTAAGTCAGACGTTCCTAGTGTAGCTTTCTCACTTGGTTTTAAGTGTTTTGAATTCTCAAAATTCTTGGAAAAATCTATGTCTAAATATAACTATAGAAGCACACAGCAAGAAGGCAAATATAATTGGGTTTTGGATTTTGGGGTAATTTAAATTTCATGAAAGTTTGCTCTTATCTGTTGACATAGTTAATTCAGAATCAACTGGTTTTTCTGAATTTTTCAAGTTAAATTGTATCGTTAAATGTTTCATTTTTTATCAGAGATGGCAATCTTCCAGATATTGTGAACAGTGGAAGTTTGCACGAGTTCCTGGTTAATCTGCACGAGAGATACGGGCCTGTGGTCTCTTTCTGGTTTGGCAGGCGCCTTGTGGTTAGCCTGGGTACAGTGGAGGTACTGAAGCAGCATATCAACCCCAACAGGACTTGTAAGTTCCGTTTTCTAATTAGTTGATTGTTATTTTTGAAGAGTAAATGTTTATAAGTAACTATACATTGTTTTTGGATAGGAAGAGGTAACATTTATTATTTATGTATTTATTTATTTATTGAGCATTTTGTGCTGCCTAGACATTGTGCTTCATTTCACCTCATTTAAGACAATGTTGTAAAATTATATTTTTTGTTAATTTGTAGACCTATACAACAAAACTTCACTGTAAAGTATAATAGGATTTTTTGGGAAACCTGAAAAATAATTTGACATTTGATTCCCAGTAACATTAAAAAATGTTGTAGGGCGCATCTTGAAGATTAAATATATAATGAGCAACCTGGAAAAAACCAAAAGAGTGTTTTTTTTTTTTTTTTTGGTACTGGGGATTGAACTCGGATCCTTGCGCTTGCAAGGCAGGTCACTGAACCGCTGAGCTAAATTCCTGGCCCCCTAAAGAGTCTTAATAAGGGAAAACTTTGTACCATCGTGCAGTGGTGGCAAACCTATGGTACACATGTTATTTGTTTTTCTTTTAAGACAAAAGATGTTAATGTATGGATTGTTTTTTCTGAACCTAAAACCCCAGTATTCAAGTTTAATTACAGTGTTCCCACTTTGTGATGAATGAGTGGGTTTTGGGTTGCAGTTTGGACACTCTAAAAGGTTTGCCATCACTAGTGTAGTGGTATAAAGCTAGATTAATCTACAGACTCTTCAGAAAGCAAACCTATGCTACAAATAATTAAAATAGCAGGATTGTTTTGTTTTCATCTTTCTGTGACTGCTTTATTCTACTTAGCATAACATTCTCCAGGTTATGTCTTCTTGAAAACAACAGAATTTCCTCCTTTTCTAAGGCTGATTATTAGTCAATTATGTGTATTTATCACTTAAAATTTTTTTATGCTTATCTTTTTTTGGCACTGGGGATTGAACTCTGGTCCTTGTGCTTGCAAGGCAGGCCACCGAACTGCTGAGCTAAATCCCCAGCCCCTTATGCTTATCTTTTCTTAAAGATAGTATTATTATTTTTTTGTTTTGTTTTGTTTTGTTTTTTGAGACAGGGTCTCACTACGTAGTTGAGACTGACCTGGAACTCACTATGTATGTAGCCCAGGCTGGTCTAGAACTCATAGTGATCCTCCTGTCTTAGCCTCCTGAGTGCCAGCATTACAGGTGTGCGCCGGCATTACAGGCGTGCACCACCATGCCCAGCAAAGATAGTATTTTATAATAAGAGATAAAAGATAAATATTTTTGAAAACCAGTTAGATATTTGAAAAAAATATTAATCCCTTCATTATCTTTTTTTTTTCTGTACCAGAGATAGTACTCAGGACCTTGCACTTGCAAGGTAGGCGCAGTGCCACTGAGCTAAATCCCTGGCCCTACTGCATTGTCTTTTATGTCATATTCCAAATGATTAAAATATGAAGACACGAAAAGAAGAAAACATGACTAAATATTAAACTTTTTTTTGGCAGCAAGAAGTATTGTTACATCATTTCTTACAATAATACAAGACTAAAGGCCAGGCATGGTGATGTATGCCTATGATCCCAGCCACCAGGAGGCTGAGGCAGGAAGATTGCAAGTTTGAGGCCAGCCTGGTCTATATAGTGAGACCCTGTCACAAAACACCAAAAGAAACAAATCAACTGACCAAATAGTAAGAAATGAGAAAACTGTTTCATACACACATATGTGCACACACATACATACACACACACTATAAAAACTAATAAGAAAGCAAAACAACTAGGTGTGGTGGTGCATATCTGTAACCCCAACACTCAGGAGGCTGAGGCAGGAGGATGAGCTCAAGGCCAGCCTGGATTACATAACGAGTTCAGGGTTAGCCTGGACTATGCATAGCAAGACCCTGACTCAAAAAACCAAAAAAATAAAAAGAACACAAAACAAACCACTCTTGTAAAAAAATGAGCAAAACCAAAGTAATTAAGAAAGATGAAATACAAGTGGCCAGTAAACAAATGAAGAGATTTCAAGTTCACTCATAATCTTTTGGAAACAAGTAAAAATGAGATTTTCACCTGATTAAAAGAAATGAAAAATACAGGTGAAACTGTTAAGGGAATTGTGAAAAAATTGTTTGGGGAATTGTGAAAAAAAAAAAAAATGCCGTGATCTCAGCTATCATCTCATCAGTTACCCTTCTTGATCTTTGGGGGATTTTTTTGGAAGGTTTTGCTGTTGTTGCTGGTTTGTTTTGTTTTGTTTGTTTGTTTTTGATTTGAGACAGGGTCTGACTATGTAGTTCAGGCTGACTTTGAACTTGCTATGTACCCTAGGCTGGCCTGATCTCCCAGCAATCCTCCTGCCTCATCCTCACAAATGCTGGGATTATAGGTTTACGTGCACCACCTTGCCTAGCAAGTGACTGTTTTTCAGTGATGTTTTTTATTTAGAAAGTTTGACCTGTCTGTTCCAGTGGACCCTTTTGAAACCATGCTGAAGTCATTGCTGAGGTATCAGTCTGGTGGTGAGAGTGTGAGTCAGCACCACCTTGGAAAGAAGCTGTGTGGCCGTGCTGTGATGGAGGCTCTGCAGAGTAACTTTGCTCTCCTGCTAAAGGTGAGGTGCTGAGTAGATTGGTCTGGTGTTCTGCAGTGTTGAATAATAGTATGTTTTAAAACTTTTGGTATGCTGTCTTTGCCACTCTTTCCTTGTGTCTCTCTAAGCTGATTTTTTCTCTTGAAATTTTTAAACAAAATGAAAGAAACACACAAAAACCCATACACTTAAAAAAGAAAATAGCATTATGAATTGTAGACTCACTTTGTAAAGATTTGTTTTATTTTGTTTCTGGTTTTTGTTTTTGTGGTGCTTGAGATGGAACCCAGGGCCCCACACATGGCTAGGCAGTTGCTTCACCACTAAGTTACATCCCCAGGCTTCCTGAGTAACTGGAAAGATGGAACAGAGAGACCTGAGCTCTTCTGTGTCTATTGATTTTTCTGTTGTTGTCAGGCCAGAATCTTTTGTTTTGTTTTTTTGAGACAGGGTCTCGCTCTGCAGTTCAAACTGATCTTAAACTACATAGTAGCACCCTCTCTCAGAAAACAAAACAGGGCTGCGGATTTAACTCAGTGGTTCTGCTGCCAAGTGCAAGGTCCCGAGTTTGATCTCTGGTACAGAAAAAAAAGAATAGTTAAAAACCAAACAAAACAACCCTGCCAAAAAATTGTGAACACATTATGATCTCAAAAATATGTATTAATATACTTTATATATAGTGAAATTATGGCTCTTTTTTTTAATTGAGTTTATTGGTACATTTTAGGTATACATTCATTACTGGGATCTTGTACCTTTACATGACAGGTTATGGGTGTTTTCTTTATACTACTAGATGTTCCATGTTTTATATAGTAACCATATATTACTTTATATATATATATCTATATATGATACATATAATGCTGGAATTACTGGCATGTGCCATCACATTAACTTCCTATTTTATGATAGCCTCTATTTTATTCTTTCTCCTTCCTTCCTCCCTCCCTCTCTCCTTTTCTTCTTTCCTTCCCTCTGTCCTTTCTGAGACAGGATCTCTAAGTAGTTTAGGTTGGTTGTGAACTCATTGTGTAACTCAGGCTGACCAGGAATTTGTGGCAATCCTCCTGCCTCAGCCTCCAAAGGGCTGGGATTATAGGTGTGAGCCACCACACCCCACAGAATTTTTGGTAGAACTGGTGATTAAACCCAGGGCTTCATGCATGCTATGACATGCTCTGCTTCTGAGCTACAGTCCAAGACTACAGACTTAATCCTTTTTGTTTTTTTCCCATTTTTCTCTCTGCTCAAAGACAAATCCAAGTGGAAAATTCATTTCAAATTTTTACATTTTTTTCATTCATTGATTTTATTGGTACATTTTAGTTATACAGTGTGATAACATTCGTTATTGGGAATTTATACCTTTACATAACATATCTTGGTTCTTTTTTCCCCATTCCCCTGCCCTCCCTTCAACCCATTCACCCTTCTGTATTTACAGACTTTGTTTCTGTTTTATCCTTTTCATATATTTATTCCTTTCCCTTTTCTTTCCCCTACCCTTCCCACTTCCCCTTCCTCTTTAGACCTTTTCTTCCTATGTCACATTATTTATAATACATTTTGTTCCTTATTTACACTTGCAGTTTCTCACACCAGAGAAACTATTCAGTATTTACGCATGTGTGTCCTATTTATTTCACTTGAGTATGGCCTCAATGTACATACATTTAGCTATAAATGTCTAGCTTCTCTTTCTTTATGGCTAAGTAGTACTCCATTTAATTTTTTTTTAACCCACATTTTCTTTATCCAGTCTCCATTTGGGCAGTTGGGCTGTTTTTAAGTTTTAGCTATTACAAACTGTGCTGCTGTAAATGGGTGCACATATATTGCTTTGGTATGATTCTTTAATTCTTTTAGGAAGATACCCAGCAGGGAAATAGCTGGGTCAAATGGGACCTCTAATCCTAGTTATTTGAGGCATCTCTGTACTAATTTCCACAGTGACTACACTGGTCTGCATTCCTATCAGTAGTAGAGAAGGGATCCTTTCTCCCCACAACCCCACCAGCTTTTGTTATTGGTTAATTTCTTGATAGCAGCCATTTTTGGGGGGTGAGGTGGAATCTCAGCGTTGTTTTCATCTGCATCTCTTGAATGACCAATAATGTTGAACATTTTTTCATTTTTTGTTTGTTTTTTGGTTTTCTGAGACAGGGTCTCACTATGTAGTTGAGACTGACCTGGAACTCACTGTGTAGCCCAGGCTGGTTTTGAACTCACAGTGATCCTCCTGCCTCAATCTCCCGTATGCTGGGATTACAGGCGGGCACCACCACAACTGGTTGAACATTTTTTCATTGTTTATTTGCTGTTCCTCCTTCTTTGTCTGAGAAATGTTCATTTGAAATGTTCAGTTGAAAAGGATGGAGTGTTTCCAAGTTCATTTATGGAAGCCAGTATTACTGTGATTCCAAAACCATATAAAGACCCAACTGAAAAAGAAAACTATAGGCCTATCTACTTAATGAACATAGATGCCAAAATCCTGAGCAAGATATTAGCAAATAGATTGCAGCACATTATCAACTAGGTCATATATCACAATCAAGTAGGTTTCATCTCAAGTTACAAAGATGGTTCAACATGTATAAGTCAATAAATGTAATATGTCACATAAATAAGAGCAAGGTCAAAAACCATATGATCATATTAATAGATGCAGAAAAGACTTGACAAAATCCAGCACCCCTTTCTGATAAAAACCCTGAAGACAGGTGTAGAAGGACCATATCTCAGTATGATAAGAGCTATTTATGGCATACCAATAGCTAGCATCATACTAAATGGGAAAAACAACATTGATTCCCCTAAAATCAGGAACAAGACAAGGATGTCTACTACCATGTCTTCTACTCAGCATAGTATGTGAAACATTAGCCAGAGCAATTAGGCAAAAGAAAGAAATAAAAGGGATACAAATAGGAAAGGAAGAATCAAATTATGATTATTTGCAGATGACATGAAATGCTACATAGAAGACCCAAATAACTCCACCAAAAATCTCTAGAATTAATAACAAACATCAGCAGTGTAGCAGGATACAAGATCAACACACAAAAATCATTTGCATTTGTAGATAGCAGTAATGAGAAGGAAATTATGAAAATACCATTCACAATGACTTGAATAAAAAAGAAATACCTAGGAATTGACCTAACCAAGGAAGTGAAAGACCTCTGCAAAGAAAATTATAGTACTCTGAAAATGGAGATTGAAGAGGACATCAGAAAATGGAGAGATTTCTCCTAAGCCTCCATAGGTAGAACCAATACTGTCAAAATGGCTATACTCCCAGAATTGTTATACAGATTCAATGCCTTCTGCAATCAAATTACCAACAGTATACTTTACATATCTTGAAAAAACAGTTCTAAAATTCATATGGAGCCAGAAAAGACCCAGATAGCAAAAGTAATTTTGGGTAACAAGAGCAAAGCAGGAGGCACAGCAATACTTGGCTTCATGCTGTACTACAAAGCAGTAGTGACAAAAATGGCATGGTACTAGAAAAAAAACACAGGGGCCAGGAATTTAGCTCAGTGATTCTGCCACCTGCCTCACAAGTGCAAGGTCCTGAGTTTGATCCCTGGTACCAAAAAAAAAAAAAAACCAGACACATGATCAATGAAACAGAATTGAGAATACAGAAATATCCCCAGACACATTCTACTATTTGATCTTTGACAAAGGGCCCACAAGCATGTTGGAGGAAAAATGACGTGTTCATTGAGTGATGCTAGGAAAACTGGTTATCTGTTTGCAGAAGATTGAAACAGGACCCATATCTCTCATCATACATTAAATTAAAATAAAAATGGATCAAAGATCTAAACAGTAAAACAAAAGTCCTGGAAGATGAAGTAGGTAAAACTTAAAGATACAGATATAAGAGGGCCGGGGATTTAGCTCAGTGGTTCCACTGCTTGCCTCTCAAGCACAAGGACCCAAATTCAATCCCTGGTATCTCCCCCCAAAAAGATATAGGTATAAGAAAAGATTTTCTAAACAGAACCTGAATCTCACAAGAAATAACAGCATGAATCAACAAATGGGATTATATCAGACTAAAATCTTCTGTAGAGCAAAAGAATCAGTAGAATGAAGAGACAACCTACAGAATGAAAAAAAATTTTTCCAGCTACTCAGAGAACTAACATCTAGAATATACAAAGAACTAAAAAAAAAACCACCTAAAATTAAATGCCCATTCAAGAAATGGATAAGAGAAGTGAGCAGACACTTCACAGAGGAAGAAATATAAATGATCAACAAGTACATGAAACCATGATCAACATTTCTGGCCATTAGAGAAATGCAAATTAAAACAATGCTAAGATTTCATCTTACTCTGGAAAAATTGGCAATCATTAAGAAATCAAACCAGTAACACGCTGGCATCTCTGGTGAAAAAGGAACCCTCCTTCATTGTTGGTGGGAATGTAAACTAGTAGAAACATAGAAATCAGTATGGAGATTTCTCAAAGAACTAAAAATAGGAATTCCGTATGAGCCACTCTTTTCTTGCTAGGTATCTTCCTCAAAGAGCTTATGTTATCATATTACAGCAGTATATACATTACCAGCACAATTCCTGATAGCTAAATCCTGAAAGCAGCCTGTATACCCATCAACAGATGATTGGGTAAAGAAGTTTGTCTATATATAACAATACTACTGGCCTATAAATAATGACAAATTTGACACATTTGTAGGAAAATGGATGCACCTGGAAAATACAGTGTTGAGTGAAATAAACCAGACACACAAACTTAAATACCATATGGTATCTCTCATTTGAGTGAGGCAAAGCACAAAGAGAATGGTAAAGAATAGATAGAAGGGGAAAGGGTATGGATCTCTTGCAATAGGGAGATTATCCAAGGAAACAAGGAGGGGAAGGGAAAATAAATAGAACAAAGATAATGCCATGTTTAGGAACCTTATAACCTCAATTAATGTAAACAACATGTCACAACATTAGCTAAGATTAGTAATATCAACAATAA